CAACCATTAAATCAAAACCCATTTTTCATTTAATAATCCATTTTCCAACACGGGTTCAAATACCAATTTTCATCATAAGTGTTTAAAACAGCAAATTATATATACGGAAGTCAATAAAACATAAAACTACACAACCCCAAATATCTAGTGTCACGAGTCTAGAGCCTCTACTACATAACTGACTGTCTGATACAACACAAGTCTAGAAAAATGCGGAAAAGAACAAGGTAAGAAGGAGAAAACAGGGTTGCGGACACCATGTAGCTACCTTGAAATCTCCGACAACCTCTGGATCAGCTGAGTACCCTCACTCTGCCATTCGGGCACCTGGATCTACACACAAGGCGCGGGGAGTAACGTGAGTACGTCAACTCAGTAAGTAATTAAAGTAAATAAGGTTTGAAAGTAGTGACGAGCAGTTAAAAATTATATAACTGAATAAACAACAGGATAACAGGTCAACTTCACAGTTTAAAACCAGTTTCGTCGGAAAATCATCAATTTCAGCTTAAAACACTTGAAATCATATACTTAGCAATTTTCCAACAGAGGCTATTTTTAGAAAAAGAGCGAAATCAGTGAAAAATATCATAACTAGGCCCCTCGGGCAAGGTATCACTTAGAATATGGCCTCTCGGGCAGCCTCTAAGTCACTCGTGACTCACTCTCGTCACTCAATACTTACTCTCAGCAATCAGGCTCATGAGTATCTCATAATAATAGAAATCATAGTAACCACCGCGGCGTGCAGCCCGATCCGTAATTTATAATCGACTACGCTCACTGGGGGTGTACAAACTCTGGAGGGACTCCTACATCCCAAACGTCTTATCGCTGCAGCGCGCAGCCCGATCCAGTATATATCTCTACATCGTGCATCCCGATCCATATAAGTATCATTGCGGCGTGCAATCCGATCCATAATATATACATACAATATCCTCACTATTAGGTTCTCAACCTCTAACAATAGAAATTAGGGAACTCAGCCTAAACAGTCCTCACAATTAAAAGTGGAGTGATAAAACTAGGTTTAAACATTTAAACAGGTAAAACGTGACTGAGGATATGCTTTCAATAAGTAAAGCGAGGAAAAATAGTAAAAATGCCCCTAAGAGTCTCAACAGGTCGGCACAAGGCCCCAAACATGGCATACATCCCATAATACAGTATAAATGACTAAAGTACGAAATAATATGAGATTCCACTCAAATACGTGGCTTAATAGTCACTACGGAACGGACCAAGTCACAATCCCTATCGGTGCACGCCCACACGCTCGTCACCTAGCATGTGCATCATCGCGTTTATCAAAACAAGTCAACCGGGGTTTGTACCCTCAGTTTTAGATTTACAATGGTTACTTACCTCAAACCGGTGAAAATACTACTCCGCGACGCCTTTGCCCCTCAAATCGGCCTCCGCTCGCGTCGAATCTATCCAAAATCAGAATCACGACGACAAAATATGATAAGGAAACGAAGCCCAAATGAAAATAATCAAATTATACCAAAATCCCGAAATTAGCCAAACCCGACCTCGGGCCCATGTCTCGAAACTCGATAAAAATTATATCAACGGAATCCTTATCTTCCTAAGAGTCCATACATACCAATAACACTAAAACCAGAGTCCAAATGATCCTCAAATTCTCATTTTAAAGTCTCTTAATCTCAAACCCTAAATCCTAAATTTTAGGCTTTAAATTCGATTAATCATAGCTCCAATCCGTGAAATAGTAGCATAGGAACGAGTTTTAGGTCCAAATTCCTTACCTCAATGAAGTTCCCTTGAAATCCCTCTTCAAAATCATCCAAAAAGCTCCCAAGCCGAATTAGATATGGTGAAAATAGCTCAAAATCGCGAAGGACACAATTTATACCTTCTGCCCATATATTTTAGCATCTGCGGCCCCATAACCGCTTCTGCAGTACCGTATTTGCGGTCCTCGAACTGCTTCTGCGGAAATCACTTAAGTCCCCAGGTTTCGCATCTGCGATGAACTATACCGCACCTGCGCCTTCGCAGATGCAGTCCCACAACCGCTTCTGCGGTTCCTCTTCTGCATATGTGGCGTCGCACCTGCGGTCGCCAATCCGCATGTGCGGAAATACCAGAAGCAGCAAAAATCTGCAGCTGCAACAATTTCTCAAACTCCCCGTCAACCATCCAAAATCACCTCGAGGCCCCCGGGACCTCAACCAAAAGCACCAACGTATCCCAAAACCTTATTCAAACTTGTACCAATCCTCAAAACACCTCAAACAACATCAGATCAACTAAAACACACCGGATTCAAGTCTAAGTTTCCAAATCTTCCGAATTCCGCTTTTGATAAAAGACCCAACCAAACCACGTCCGAATGACCTGAAATTTTGCACACACATCCCAAATGACACAACGGAGCTACTGCAACTCTCAGAATCCCCCCTATATCAAAATCTCTCCTACCAACCGGAAATTGCTAAAATATCAACTTCGCCAATTCAAGCCTAAATCTACTCCGAACCTCCAAAACTCATTTCGATCGCGCTCCTAAGTCCCAATCACCTCCCGAAGCTATTCGAACCATCGGAACTCACATCCGAGTCCTCTAATACACAAGTCAACATCTAGTTGACTTTTTAAACTTAAACTCACTCTAAAGAGACTAAGCGTCTCAAACCTTACCAAATTCTTTCCGAACTCGATCCGACCGACTCGATACCACATAACACGGATAAACAAAGTATAAAGAAGCAGAAATGGGGGAAGCTGAGCAGTAACTCATGAGACGACTGGCTGGGTCATCATAAAAACATAAGAAATTTCCAAGAATAAATACAATCCAGCCCAAAACCAGGGTATCACTGAGTGCATGAGCGTCTAAGGAAAATACATAGTCTATTATAATGTCTAAGGGAACAACTGAAATACAACTGGAAGGTAAGGTGGAGAGCCAAGGCCTGCAAATGCCGTGCAGATACTTCAATAATCTCCCAAGTCAGAAGCCTCGATCAACCACTGCAACTGGATTCAAAGGGCCCGAATCTGCACACGAGGTGCATGGGGTAACGTGAGTATACCAACTGTGTAAGTAACAAGTCCAACCTTTGAACTGATAGGTAGTGACGAACTCAAACTCATCAAAGGTAATAGAAATAATGTACAGAAACGTAGGCATGCTTTCAGTTAAATAAACAACTTGAACAGTAAAACAGAGCAGGTATATACAGGGTAATGATGTGTAACTCTGCTACGTCTATATGCCAATGCACATGCTGTATGAAATGCACCATGCTGAGTGCCTCATGTGCCCACAATCTCAAATGCTCGTCCACTCAGTACTATATATGGCTCATACGGCCCAGGAAAGATCCATCCCGAAATATATATATCTCTGACAGCAGTCACTCAGTACTGAGGAAGGCCATTTCAGCATATGGAGAAGATCCATCTCCATATAATAACAATAACAACCTCACAACCACTCGGTACTATATATGGCTCACGAGGCCCAGGGAAGATCCATCCCGAAACATATACACATCACTGACAACAGTCATCCAGTACCGAGGAAGGCCATTCCAGCCTATGGAGAAGATCCATCTCCACATAATAAGTACTTCGGACAAGATCCATCCCTCAATAATATCATATGTGCTCACTGGGGTGTGCAGACTCCGGAGGGGCTCCTTGACCAAGCGCTATAACAAGCCAACGACATTTGTGTCACCTCAATAGTAATCATAGAACACATAGTTTGTGGTTTCGAACCCTCAGAACCAAGTTTGGAAGCATTACTTACCTCAAACCAAGCCAAAACTCTAGCCCGCGATGCCCTTGCCTCTCGATTCATGCTCCAGATGCTCCGTCTCTGACCAAATCAGTATATTATCATCAATATATACTAAAGGAATGAAACCCATACGAAAATTATCAATTTAGACCAAAAATCCTGAATTTGCTCAAACTCGCCCCCCGGCCCCACATCTCGGAATCCAATAAAAATCACAAAACTAGAAAGCCCATTCTCTCACGAGTCTACCCATATCAAATTTGCCAAAATCCGACATCAAATGGCCATCCAAATCCTCAAAATCAACTCTCCAAATTTTCTTCCATTTTCCCAATTTTCACCCCAAATTCCCAAATTAAATGATAAAAATCAAGAATTAATCATGGAAGTTAACCAAATTTGAGTGAAGAACACTTAACCCAATCAATCATCTGAAAATTCCCTCCAAAATATCCTTCTCCCGAGCTCTCTAATGAAATTCGAAGTTATGGACTAAAACCCTCGATTTTGAACTTAAAGTTTCTGCCCATGTGTTTTCTTCTTTGCGAACATGGCAGCTCCCTCACGTTCGCGAAGCACAAGCTTCCTCAGACCAAATTCCCTTCTTTGCGAACGCGTTGGACCACTCGCGAACGCGAAGATCATCCAGCTCGACCCTACGCGAACGCGGAAAACCCATCGCGAACCACCCGAAACTCACCCGAGGCCCTCGGGACCTTAACAAAACATGCCAACACATCCCATAACATCATTCAAAAAATTATTAACGATTAAAAATTATTTTAAAAAAACATTAAAAATTGTTTATAACATTAAAAATTATTTTCAAAAAAAACTTGCATGCTATATTGGCATGTTATTGTATAGAATAATGATTATGGAGAAGTCTGACTGTGTATTATAATTTAAACTATCATATAAATATTGTTTATACACCCCACTAGTGAAATTTTACTGGGTGTTGTGTTGTATTTTCAATTATAATTTTAATTATTGCATAATTATATCTTATTATGTTGATAAGTTATAGTTTTAATCAAATAATATATAATTAGATGTATTAAATTGGAAAAAACAATATAACTAATATTAAGATAATTTTTAATTACCTAGTTTTTCTTTACTAATTTTTAGGAGGGTAAATGTGATTTAGAATATGTTTTCCCTCCAAATTTTTCCCTCAAGTTTTTTGCCAAAATAAAAGTTTTAATTTAGAGAGATTAGAGAAGAACGAAAACCCTTTCCCTACATATCAAAAGAAAGCCAAAAATCAGGGTAAGGCACTCTCTCTAGTTGCTTTAGCCGCATCGTCATATACAATCTTCTGCAGTTTTAGTACCCAATGTGCAATTCACTTCTACCAACAAGGTGTATGAAATCTATACGGATGCGATCTTCGCTCCTCGCCGTCCAAAACCTAACTAGTCAAAGGTGAGGAACTCTTCAAAATTTTCATCTTTTGTGTAATAGAAATTTTGCATTTTTGTTCGTCACATGTGCAGTGGATTATTTGATGGTGTATTGGCCTAGGTGTTACTGGGGTTTCTACTACTTTTTATTTTTCCGTAAAAGTTGTGGGTTACTTCAAATACTCTACAATTTATGCATTTCTGTCTTGATGTACACATTGATTTGATGATATAATAGTTGGTAATTTCCGGTATTTATGTTTTCACTTTTGTTTCAGTTTCCTCTTTCATTTTTTTTATTTTTTATTTTGTGCTCTTTATGTGATGGGTATTCTTTAACTCTGTCTTATTTCTTACACTAGTTCATTTTTCTGATTTGTTGGTATAATAATTTGAGGATTTTGGATATTTTGTCATTATTTGCTTTCATTTTATTGATGGTGGATTGTATGCAAAATTAAGAAAACTTTGGGTCAAAAATTTGTGAAAACTAGTTCCCAGAATTTTCTTGAGAAGTCAATGAATCAAATGAAATTAGAACAACGAAACTAGAATAAGCATAATGAGTTTTTGTAGTATGTTTGATGGAATCACCTAATCAATGTTGGCTAATAAGAAATTAACAGTCACGGTTTATGTATTGCTCTTTGTAATCCAAAAAGAGAATGGTAAGTACGTCATGTAGGAGGTTGATCTTGTATAGCATGAAAAACCTTTTTGATAAAATAGGCTAATCCACTTGGCATGTAGGAGTTCGATAACTTTCTTCCCCTTGGCATCATGTTACTAAAATATATACCTCTGAAGTTTCAATGAAGCATTTTTCAAGTGTAAAGGAGTGGATGTTGATACCGTGGTTCTAATGGCTGCTAGAGCTTCACGGGTGGAAAACGAAGATGCAATTGATGCTGCCATTGCGGGGATGTTGGCTGATCCGAAAGAGGTAATCAACTGACGGCTTCTTTGTTAGTGCTCACTACATAGAATTTTTTAGCTGTTTGTTATAAGTAGCATCCTCATAATTTATGTACTTAAAAGGCGAGAGCTGGAATTCAAGAGGTTCATTTTCTTCTGTTCAATCCAACTGATAAGCGCACAGCTCTAACAAATCTTGACAGTGAAGGCAAAATGCATCGAGTCAGTAAAGGTGCCCCTGAACAGGTAAAGGGTAAACTGCTTCTGATTTCATATCTTGATAGTTTGCATTGCCAATGCTAATGTCTTGGTTTCTAGATTTTGAACCTTGCGCACAATAAATCTGACATACAGCACAAGGTACACGCGTATATCTTTCTAGTATAATTCAGTTGTTTCTTTAGTTAGATTAACAATGTTATGATTGCAGTACACTAATAACTAATAGTAGATGGTTTTGGAGTACAAAGCAATTAAACAACGAATAAGAAAGTTGGCAACCATATAGGTTTATTTTTCAGCTCTTCCTTACCTGCTGCTATATTCAGGCTGTCTTTTTAGCTTCTTTTACCATGCACACCAAATTAGTCTTTAAGTACAAGAGCGCTAATGTCATGTTAAACCTGAAAGAGGATGCGAGAAAGATGTCAGAAATCTGCTTGGGGTCAAGATTGGACTTCTATACTTTATTTGGAGTGGGTTGTGGCAGCCATGTTCTCATCTTAACATTTGTAATATAGAGATATGTTGGAATCTTTTGGGACATTAAGTATGTTGAACGGGATGAACTTTTCAATGTATTTCAATAACTATCTTTTATAATGTTATTTTGGTCTAATATGCTCGAGTAACCCCCCCCCCCCCCCCCCCCCCCCCCCCCCCCCCTCCCCACATCAGGTGATCAACTAGCGATTGGAAAGGATACAGGATGTTGTTTAGGAATGGGAAATAATATGTATCCTGCTGCTTCTTTGCTAGGCCAGGATAAGGATGAGTCTATTGCAACTTTGCCTGTTGATGAGCTGATTGAAAAAGCAGATGGTTTTGCTGGTGTTTTTCATGGTAAGGTTTTATTCTCTACAGAATTTGATGATTAGTATTCTTTCTTCCTATTTCTCGATGCTGATGAAGGCAATATTTAGGCTAGCAGGCATTTAGAGGACCCTTCCTGATGTTAGTTCATAATGGTGGAACTAGCTAGTAAGAAGAGCAAGTACCCATCATCCAGAGCTACGACCAATAGAGCATCCTCTCATAAAGGTAGTTAGCTTATTCTGGATACTATATTGTTCCTTGAATTGATTAAAGCATTAGCCTAAATATTAAGAGAAAAAAAGTATTATTGTCCCTTGCTACAAATAAGTAAGAAGTAATCTTTCGTCCTCCCTCAGGAAGCACCGGATCAAACAAGGATCTTGGGATATTTAGACACATAAGAGCACTTAGCAGTGTTTTTGAGAAACTTACTTTGATTCAAAGTCTTGGCTTTTATTGTTATACTTTAAAGCAGATGACAACTATAATGTACAATCCACTCTACTGGTTCATTAAGTTCTTAGAAATGCATATCTTCCATTGACAAACAGGTGAAAGATTTACAATGGGAACATGTAGATGTAAAGTTCATTATATAACCAATGGTAGAAAATATGTGATTTCTCTAAGAAAAACTTCATATGATGAATAAACTTTAATTGTTTTATGTAGATATACTTCATTCCACCATTTTATTATTATTATTATTTTGTTTTTTTTGGAATTGTTGTTGCAGCTCATGGAGAGGCCCAGAAAGCATCCAGATCGATTGGAACATGAATGACTATTTTTTCTCTCTTGTAAAATCATATTGATATGTTTGAGTGGAACTTTTGCTTTATTATCTTAATCATCTTTTAATTCCATAATTTTTGGCTTGATTGCCTTTGTCTGTTATGTTTTGCTTCAATTCATGGCTTAACAGTATAAGTGTTAATAAATCAAGCTTCCACATTCTTGTTGATGATATGGCGATGAGTATGTACAACTAGCTACGGCACATTGAATGGGCTGAAGGTTTACATAATATCAGAGGAAGGTTCGATTCCCGAAGAATTTGCTGGTCTGTTTGCTCTTCAACCACAGGTAAGGAGTAAATATAGCTTGTATTTCTTCTATTACAACTTCTGACTCATGCAAGTGTACGGAGAATATGCTCTAGTATTGCTAGTGACGGCGGACACTAATTGCTTTAAAAGTGTTCCCAAATATGTTCTTCCAAAGCAATAAATGACTTTGAAATAGTCATTAGCTAGTTGGCATAACCTTAGGCGTATATTATTTGGTTTTTCTTGTTTGGTAGGGTGAACTGAAGCCCATGGATGCAGAGCAACCGAGAGAGTATGGTCACAAGATGGTGAATTTCATTGTTGATTATTACAAGAACTATGAGAACTCACTGTTCTCAATCAAGTTCAGGTTTTCATAATAACCTATCAATTTCTTTTTGTATCCTTACCCAAGAATTAGTTATTTCCCCATAGAAAGTTTAGCCATTGCATGACAGTGTTATTTTGGCCGAGTTTGCGGACACTTAGCTAGAAAAAAGTACTCCATTATATTTCGAATGAAATTAGTAAAGCTCAATCTTTTAATGAATACATTTTTAATATCTTAGCTGGTTGGTGACCATATCATCTGTCATTGCTCATGATAAAAAATTTATTTAGTTCCATGAGGATTTGAATTTGTAATATTTGTCACTATGGTTATTTATTATGAAATTTGATTTATGTTGTAAGTTATTTGATAAAATTGTTTCTTTAATCCTACAAATAAAAAAAATTCAAATAGAAAAAGAGTTTTCAACAAAATATTGTGGCAGAAATAAGCTGCCACTATTTTTTTTTAAAATACTAATATTATATTGTAGCGGTTATAAACCACCACATAACTTTTTTTTAAAAAAATTTAAATCATATTTTGGGGGTTTATAAACCCCCGAAAATATCTTATTTGAACCATTATGATTATATTGAGGGGGTTTATAAACCCTCGCAGTATGTTTTTTTTTTTGACACATTGAAATCATATTGCGGGGGTTTTAAACTAACACTAATTATCTTTCAAAATCCCCACATAAATTTTTTAAAAAATATATTTAAATCATATTTTGGGGGGTTTTTAAACCCCCACAATATCTTTTTTGAACCATTATGATCATATTGAGGGGGTCTATAAACCCTCACAATATTTCTTTTTGACACGCTGAAATCATATTGTGGGGGTTCTAAACTAGCACTAATTATCTTTGAGAACCCCCACAAATCAAAAATTCATTTTGTGGCGGTTGTCGTGGAGGTTTTAAAAACCCGTCGCAAAATGCTTGTGGCAAAGGTAACTGTGGCACTTCTAGAAACCGCCACAATTCTTTTTGTGGGAGTCAAAACTGTCGCAATTTGACCAAAAACCCCCCACAAAGTAAATGTTTTCTTGTAGTGATACCCACGTTCTTTTTACCATTTTCCATCTTCTGAAACTAAATTCTCCATCTAAATTCACAAAAAATTAAAGATTTTTAAACAGAACAGTATTCACAAACGTGTAGGCGAAATGTGCACTACGAATGTGAAACAAAAGCAATAGAAGCATATGAACAACAAGCTTCGCGCAACAACATCATGATATTTCAGAAATAAAAGATAAACAGACATGCATTTTGACCAGTTTATGGTTTTTAGAAGCCTTAGTAGAACTACTTTGCTTTCCACACAGCCATTAAAAAGCTTTGAAGCATTGAATTCAAATTTGGGTTTTCAAAAATCATTATTTGTNATCTACAATTTCTGCAATATGTCTTCTTCTTCTTCTTCGAATTTCAATCTGAAATTCAGTCAAAACCAAGTCTAATCTTCACCAAAACCCCTCAAAATTGAGATATAAACTCCAAAACATATTCCCAATTATTTACAACA